AAGTCGTCTTCACTTTCAACAAGAAAGTCTATGTCATCTGTATATGACAGGTGATGCTGTGTTCTTCTTCATACAGTCCAGCCTGCCTAATTATTTGCTCATCATACAGATTAAGTATGGTGAAAGGATACAACCCTGATGCACACCGTTCCTGATTTATAACCACACAGGAGTCCCTTGTTCTTTTAGAATGGCTGCCTCTTGGTCTATGTATAGGTTCTACCTGAGCACAATTAAGTGCTCTGGAATTCCCATTCTTTGCAATGTTATCCATAATTTGTTATAATCCACACAGTCAAATGTCTTTCCATAATCAATAAAACACATGTAAACCTCTTTGTGGTATTCAGTGCTTTCAGCCAAGATAAATCTAACATCAGCAATGATATCCTTGTTTCATGTCCTCTTCTGAATCTGGCTTGAATTTCTGGCATTTCCCTGTAAATGTACTGCTGCAACCCCTTTTTATGATCTTCAGCAAAATTTTTGTTGTGTGTTATATTAATGATATTGTTTGATAATTTCTGCATTCTGTTGGATCACCTTTATTTGGAATAGGCACAAATATGGATCACTTCCACTTGGTTGGCCAGGTAGCTGTCTTCCAAATTCCTTGGCATAGAAGAGTGAGCATTCCCAGCGCCATATCCGTTGCTTGAAACATCTCAATTGGGATTCCGTCAATTCTTGGAGTCTTGTTTTTTGTCAGTGCAGTCAGTGCAGCTTAGACTCCTCCTTCAGTACGATTGGTCTTGATCATATGCTACCTTCTGAAATGGTTGTACATCAACCAATTCTTTTTGGTTCAGTAACTCTGTGTATACTTTCTTTCTTTTCTTTTTTTTTTTTTTGGATGCTTCCTGTGTTTTTCAATGTTTTGCACATAGCGTTTTTCAATAGAAGCAAGGATGGTGTGACCTCGCCTCACATTCTTTGGACATGTTATCAGGAGGGACCAGTCCATGGAGAAGGACATGATGCATGTAAAATAGAGGATCAGTGAAAAAGAGGAAGACTCTCAACGAGATGGATTGAGACAGCGGCCACAACAATGGGCTCAAGTATAATAATGATTGTGAGGATGGCGAAGGACTGTGCATTGTTTCTTTCTGTTGTACTTAGGTTCACTGTAAGTAATAAGTGCCTCGATGGCACATAAGAACAACAATCTTTTAATATTCTAACTTGAGGCTTGAGTTTTCTCTTCAGTTCTTTCAGCTTGATAAATGCCAAGCATGTTCTTGCCTTTTGGTTTTCCAACTCTAGGTCTTTGTACATTTGATTATACCACTTTGCTTTGTCTTCTCGAACTGCTTAATGAAATCTTCTGTTGGGCTGTTTTATTTCATCATTTCTTCCTTTCTCTTTGGCTAGTCTCCATTCAAGAGAAAAATTCAGAGTCTCTTCTGACATCTATTTTGGTCTTTTTCTTTCTTTCCTGTCTTTTTAGTGACCTTTTGTCTTCTTCATGTAGGAGTTCGTTGATGTCACCCCACAACTCATTTGGTCTTTGGTCATTAGTGTTTAAAGCGTCAAATCTACTTTTGAGGTGGTCTCTATGTTCAGATGGAATATACTCAAGGTCATACTTTGGCTCTCATGGACTTGTTCTAATTTTCTTCACCTTCAACTTGAACTTGCATAGGCCAATTGGTGGTCTGTTTTATAGTCTGCCCCCGGCCTTATTCTGACTGATGATAGTGAGCTTTTCCATCATTTCTCTCTACAGATGTAGTCAATTTGATTCCTATGTATTCGCAGTGGTTAAGCAGTTGGCTGCTAACCAAAAGGTCAGCGGTTGGATCCCACCAGCCATTCTCCGAAATATGTGGTAGTGTGCTTCCGAAAAGATTACAGCCTTGGAAACCTTTGGGGCTGTTCTACCCTGTCCTATTAGGTCGCTATGAGTCGGGATTGGCTAGTTGCCAACCGGTTTTTGGTTTAAAGCGTTTATGGAGGAAATAAAGACAAGAGGAAGATACAAGTTCGACAAGACCCTGAACGTGTCCACCACTGGGCGGAGCCCTGGGCGTCCGCGCCGGAACCCCGCCCCTCCCGCCGAGTGGGTCAGAGCAGGAAGCGGAAGTGCGCGTGCGCGGCCGGCAGCTGTGAGTGGCGGTCACCCGGCTGGGGCGTGAGGTACGTCTGCGCCGCTCTGGGCGTCCGGCCTGGCCCGGTAGCAGGTAGAGCCCGCCGGCCAGGGAGGGCCCGCTGCGGTTCCGAGGCCGTTGCTCCCTCTGCTGCGCAGGCCTGGCCTCTGCGGCCTCCCTGGAGGGTCCAGGGCCGCGGGGCCTCCCGCCGCCGTCGCTGCCTCTTTGGCGGGGCTTCGGCCTC